TCTCAGCACTTTGGCCAACATTCATCATGCTATACATGGTGTACATGTTGCAGATCTGCCGGTATTGCTCGTCTGTGCCCTCTTCGCCCGCATCCTCCTCCTCGTCCTCCTCATTGTGATAGGAGCCTGGGCTGTCACTAGTATAGGCGCTCGAGGTACCAGGGCTGGTCCGCTCGGACATGCTGGGCCCGCTCACCACGCCCCCTGCTGCCGCCGCCGCCGCTGCAGCAGCCAAGGCCTGCTGAGGTGGCCGGTTGGCGGCCAGGTCCAATGTGGAGAACCTGGCCATTTTTCGGCTACCATTGCCACCACTGCTGCCGCCAACCCCGGCCTCCTTCTGGCTGCTGTCCCACAGCCGCTTGGCCACAGGCGTGCACTGCACGGAGTCCGACTCCTGCTGCTCTGTCTTGACACGGGATACCAGGGGCAACGGGGTGCTGCAGGCCGTCCAGCTTGATGTCTGAGCCACAGGGCTCTGGGGCTCGGAAGATGGAGCCTCCTCGGCATGTAGGCCCTGGGAGTCGCAGCTGGGAGAGCTCACCTTGAGGAAGAACTCAGTGCCCTTCTCCATGATCTCCTGGATCTGCAGGAAGCCAGCCGTGTACATGAGCAAGAACTGGTCCCCCATATTCATGCTCAGCCGGCCCGTGTAGCAGAAGCTGAGGATTTGCTGGAAGGATGGGGCTGCAACAGCCGCCGGCAGCTCTACCACAGCGCTCCGGCTGCTGTTGAACAGGTCCCGGAAGTAGGAGCTGCTAGCAGCCAGTACGGCTCTCAGCACTTTGGCCAACATTCATCATGCTATACATGGTGTACATGTTGCAGATCTGCCGGTATTGCTCATCTGTGCCCTCTTCGCCCGCATCCTCCTCCTCGTCCTCCTCATTGTGATAGGAGCCTGGGCTGTCACTAGTATAGGCGCTCGAGGTACCAGGGCTGGTCCGCTCGGACATGCTGGGCCCTCACCACGCACGCCCCCTGCCGCCGCCGCCGCCGCTGCAGCAGCCAAGGCCTGCTGAGGTGGCCGGTTGGCGGCCAGGTCCAATGTGGAGAACCTGGCCATTTTTCGGCTACCATTGCCACCACTGCTGCCGCCAACCCCGGCCTCCTTCTGGCTGCTGTCCCACAGCCGCTTGGCCACAGGCGTGCACTGCACGGAGTCCGACTCCTGCTGCTCTGTCTTGACACGGGATACCAGGGGCAACGGGGTGCTGCAGGCCGTCCAGCTTGATGTCTGAGCCACAGGGCTCTGGGGCTCGGAAGATGGAGCCTCCTCGGCATGTAGGCCCTGGGAGTCGCAGCTGGGAGAGCTCACCTTGAGGAAGAACTCAGTGCCCTTCTCCATGATCTCCTGGATCTGCAGGAAGCCAGCCGTGTACATGAGCAAGAACTGGTCCCCCATATTCATGCTCAGCCGGCCCGTGTAGCAGAAGCTGAGGATTTGCTGGAAGGACTGGGGCTGCACAGCCGCCGGCAGCTCTACCACAGCGCTCCGGCTGCTGTTGAACAGGTCCCGGAAGTAGGAGCTGCTAGCAGCCAGTACGGCCCGGTGGGCCTTGAAGGCATGGCCTTTGACCACCACTGACACATCACAGTACAGGCCCTGAAGCCGCTGCTCATTCAGGCACTCCAGAATGCTGTTGCCGAAGTTCGGGATCTCCATCTGCAGGGTCTGGGCCATGGTGGCAGCTGTGCAGGGGACAGGGGAAGACAGAGATGGGTCAGGTGGCATGCTCAGGCCTGTTCTCAGCGGCATCCTGACGGTGGGTTTGCTGGGGCCTTAAGAACTGTAGTAGCCTGGCTGGTGTGGCTCAGGGGTTGTGCATTAACCTATGAACCAGGAGGTCCCATGCCAGGTTCCAGGCTCAATCCTCATTAGGGGGCATGCAGGAGACAGCCAATCAATGATTTTTCTCTCATCATTGATGTTTCTATCCCACTCCCTCACTGAAATCAATAAACAATATATTAAATAAATAAATAAAAGAATCACAGGAGCCACTCCTTCCATTCCTTTAGGAGAGACTGTCAAATTGGCCATATCAGCTACAGGACAGGGTGGCCACATGGTGTTTCTTGCAGACAAGGGGGAAAGGCAAACTTACAGGTGCTTAAATAGAAAATGAGTTAATACAGTGATCATAAGGCATCCATGCATAGGGTAACTCTGAAGGGCACTGGCATGGAAACTCCCAGAGGGTAGAGTCACCCCATTTTCCCCAGTGCTGAACACATGACACTCCACCACTATTTGTTGAATGACTAAATGACAAGAACCCCTGAAACTGCGTAAGAATACCACTAGTCATCAGGGAAATTCAAATCCAAACCACAACAAGACACTATTTCATACCCACTAGGTCGGGTAGAAGAAAAAAGACATGTGCTGTCAAGGATGAGAAGTTGGAACCCTCCTCTACTGCTGGTGGAGATGCAAAGCTGTGCAGCTGCCGTGGAAAACCGCTTGGCAGGTCCTCAAATGGGTTAAGCATGTAGGTGCCATATGGCCCAGGAATTCCATTCCTCACAATTATACCCAAGAGAAGTGAAAACATATATCCACAGAGAAAACTGTGAATATTCACAGCAGCACAATCCACAACTGCCCAAAGGGGCAAACAATCCAACTGTCCATTAAGTGATGAATGGATAAACAAAAGGTGGTACATCCATACAGTGGAATATTATTCAGCCATAAAAAGGAAAGAATCAGTACATGCCATAACTTAGACCAGCAGTCGCCAACTGGTAGTCCACGGACCACTGACTTAGATGAAACTAAAAACATTATGCCAAATTCAAGAAGCCAGACAAAAGGACCACATATCATATGATCCCATTTATCTGAAATGTCCAGAACAGGTAAATCCATAAAGACAGAAAGCAGTTCTAGCCAGTTTGGCTCAGTGGAGAGTCTTGGCCTGTGGACCAAAAGGTCCCAGGTTTGATTCCAGTCAAGGGCACATACCTTGGTTGCAGGTTCCTCCCTAGCCTGGGCCATGGTCAGGGCACAGAGGCAACCAATCGATGTGTTTCTCTCACATCGATATTTCTGTCTTTCCCTCTCTTCCACTCGGAAAAAAAATCAATGGAAAATATCCTCAAGTGAGGATTAACAACAACAAAGGCAGAAAGCAGATTAGTGATTATCAAGGGGATAGGAGGTTTGGGAATGAGCAAAGAATACAGATTGCCATATTGTGATGTATAGGAAATATATATTTGGTCATTCAGATGACCAAAATATCTATCTAATACACTGGGTCTTCATCCATAATTCCTGACTCACAGCTCTAGCAACACTTGGAACTTCCTAAGTGCTGAGTGGCCTTTTGTTATGTTAAGGAGGTGACTTTTGGAAGCACCTTCATGGAAGCAGGGGATTACCCACACATGGATTAGAGGGGTGGAACTTTCCGTCCCCACACCTCTGGGAGCCAATCACCAGCAGCCAGTGATGCCATTGGTCAGTCTATCTATGGAAATCTGGAGTCGCTTGTCAGGAGAGGGCCTGGAAGCATGGGATCCCTTCCCACTTACCTGGCCCTAAGCAGCTCTTCCATCTGGCTGTTCCTGAGGTATAGCCTTTTGCAACAAACCAGTGATCTAGTTAAGTGACGTGTTTCTCTGCTTCTATGAGCAGCTCTACGAAATTAATTGAGCAAAAAGAGAAGTTTCTGTGGCCAGTCAGCAGAAGCATGGTAACCCTGGCTTGGGACTGGTGTCAGAAGTGTGTTGGTGGGGCAGTCTTGTAGAACTGGGCCTGTGGATTCTGAAGCAATTTCCAGGTAATGTCAGAATAGAATTGAAAAAAAAAAAAAAAAAAGAATTGAATTCTCGGACACTTTTTTTGTGTCTGAGAATTTTTGTTGGTGTGGGGAAGCCCAATCTCTACACCCCAAGTGTAATTATTTGAGTCCAAGAACCCAATTTACAGGGTTTCCTCTTGACCTCATGAAAAATGTTCTAAAATTATGATGGATGCATAACTCTGTGACTATACTAAAAAGCACAGAATTGCACACTTTAAACGGGTAACTACATGGTATGTGCACCTCTATAAAACTAACACCATATTCTGGGCAGAACTGGGTATGAGACGTGCCAGGTACATTCTACAGGTCTTTTGAATTTTTAACCTGGTGAATGTATTGCCTATTTGCAAAACTAAACAATATTTTTAAATAAAATCAGCCCTAGCCAGTTTGGCTCAGTGAATAGAGTGTCTGCCTTTGGACTGAAGGGTCCCAGGTTCGATTCCAGTCAAGGGCACATGCCTGGGTTGTAGGCTCCATTCCTAGTAGGGGGTGTGCAGGAGGAAGCCAGTCATTGATTCTCTCATCATTAATGTTTCTATCTCTCTCCCCCTCCTCTCTGAAATCAATAAAAAAAATTTTTTAAAAATGTGTAAAATCATACCCCACATTTAATTTATGCAAATTAACCCCAAAGTGTTGGGGTAGGAAAGAAATGCAAATTTAAGGATCTGCCTGTGATCTTGCTCATGGAAGTCCAACCCCTATCCTGATCAGTGAGTGGGGAGACCATGGGGGTTGGGCCAGGGACCTCTAAAAAGTGTGCACTTCTGAGCCAAAGCCTATTCCATCCGTGCATATTCCAACCCAGGAGAACTGGTCACATGGGAGGGGCATGTCCCATACTCTAGGGCAGGTGTGGAGAACCGTTTTCCTGCCAAGAGCCACTTGGATATTTATGGAACATCAATCTCGGACCACACAAAATTACCCACTTAAAAATTAGCCCGCTATATTTGGTCAAACATTTAATTAACTCAACCCTAATGCCTTGGCAGGGCCAGACCAAATGATTTTGTGGGTCTTACCTGGCCTGGCAGGATGTTCCCACCCCTGTTCTAGGGGCAATCATAAAAGGTCACTGAAGGATGATGTGGCTTTAAAAGTGCCTCCAGGTGTAAGAGTATCCCCTGCAATTCTACAGTGGTCCTGAATAAGCAGGCTAGGGAAAAGAAGAGAGGCCCTGAGCACGGAGGCAGATGAGAAGGATGAAGAGAAATGACAAAAAAGGAGTTCGGCAAAGGCCCTGGGGCAGGAACTAACAAGAGCCCCCAGCTAGTGTTCCCTCATTCCCCAGTTAGCTTTCACAGCTACCATTCATTATAGCAAGTCCATTCTGACCTGCCTCCATGGGTTGAGCACTGGGACACAGTGGAGACTTGGGCTCTATCTTTTAACACTGAGTTCACTCTGAAAAGGCTGCCTAGAGAATAAAAGCAGCCACAAACCCATGGGCTCAGAGGTGCACTTCAGGGCCAGGTTGAGTACTGGTTCCAGAACTGACTCACTCCTGGGCTCAGGTGCTCCCAACTTCTACTTCTCTATTTGTAAACAGACGCTGATAAGGCGAACATGGTTCTATAAACTCAATCTGAACTCACTGAGTTGCTTCATCTGGCAGAACCGGAGGGAGATGCAGGGGACCTGCCTGCACGAGCTCCCCGAATCCTGTTAGTAAACCTCTGGAGAGGATTTCATACTCCCAATACTCAGCCTGGAGGTCATGTGGCAGTTCAGGACTGTTCCGAAGTCATTGGTAAGTGGTAGGGACAAGATTCAAACCAGGTCTGCCTGGGCACTGCAATCTGTGATTTCCCTAGGCTGTGCCCTCTTTCTCATTGTCACAAAAAATCACTTAGGGCAACCAGGGGAGAGAGGCAGAGACAGGAAATCCCATTAGAAAGAAATGCACCTTTCCTGAGCTCAAACAGTGCTGGATGGGCCAGTAACTGGCCCTGAGTGAGGAGGTAGGAAAACCGAGGCACCAAATGGAGGTGAAGGAGAGCCCCATTCAGATGAGCCCCAACCCCCCTTCTCAGGCTGCCAAACAAACTGCTCTGAGTACTGGGGCTCAAGTGACCAAGGCCAAGGTGTCCAAGGGAGAGAGTGGCCCCCCGGCTCCTGGAAAGGTGCTTCAGACCCCAAGCCTTCCAAGAGGGTGGACCAAGACAGGACAGGCAAGCCACGAAGTCAGAGGCCCCAGACTTAGGTTCTGATGCCAACCACACTACTCTTTTTTTTCACCATAAAAATGCAAACACCCTCTCCCCAAACTCAAACGGTACAGCCGCGTCGGAGGATTTGCGCGCCTCCCCTGGAGAGGCCGCCGATTATAAAAGTGTAACGAGGTGGCGGCCTCAGGTCGGTGGGAAACGTTTCCGAGTAAAAATAATTTAGCAAAAACGGCTTCTTAAATAAAAAAAAAAAAACCACACACGCAAACCTTGACTAGGAACCCAGCTTGTGAACAACCACCTTTCACAGCTTTTCCTGGAGTCCGTGGTTAGTGAAAGCTTCCGAAGTGAGGGGGCAGGAGCCAGCCCATAGCCTGCGAGGCCGGCGCTGATCTGGGCCGAGCTGGACTCCCCGCAGTCTAGTGACTTCCTGGCCAAAGTCACCGGCTCTTTCGCTGTCCCTGCCGCGGCGCTGCCCAGTGTGAACATCACGGAAAGACCAGTGGGCGAAGCTTTCTCTCCTGGCCGGAGCTCTGGCGTCCCCACAGTGACCTCTCGCCCCGCCCCTGCCCTGCCCATGGGGTCGGCGTGGCTCACTGTGACGCGGGACACACTACTCTAGCTGTGTGGCCTCAGGCCAGCTCCTCACCACTCTGTGCCTGTTTGTTCACCTATAAAATGGGGATGCATGCATCTAACCCACCCTGGTGGGCTGCAAGGAAGGTTCTCGCGGAATTAGTTCACTGTCTAGTGGGGAGATATAGGGAGAGATTTAATTACCGTTGGGGTGAATGTTACCTAGCAGTCACCCTTGGTGGCAAGGCAAAGGGGTAGGGGAATGACGCACAGAGAGCCACAACAGTCTTGG